TTGTCATGTATTTTCTCTTTTAGAAAACACCACAATAAACACTTTTTCACATATACTAGATGTCTGGATGGGGGTCTTTAAGGAATCAAACAGGTCTTGGTATGAGAAATGATTGGTTACTGAGGAAATTCCTCTCCCCACAATTTTGACAAGTATTTACTAGTTTCCCAAACTGAGTGGCCTTGATCTTTTAATTTCTCCATATTATAGATCTATAACTTATCTTTGATTGTTACCCATTCTTGAAAATTGCTTCTGGAATGTTGGACAAGTTTTGGGGTGGGTAGTTTAGAAGAAAGAATCTGTCGTTGAACTGGCTAGTTGTCCCCATGAGCTGACAGCCAACCGGTGTTTCTGAACTGAGCCTCAGCTCTTCCCCACTCTGGAACTTCTGAGTGGTTCTTGCATCCATTTTGAGAAGGATAAAGAAGTTTGCCTAAAAGTTGTGAGTGATTTATTGACCAATTTATTCAGAGGTCAGTGTAACTTTTTAATTGCATTTTATAGTTGTACATTTATAGGATAGTGACAAATACATTTTTGTAATCTTCACCCCCCTCTAGTAGCTATGGCAATATTGCTTTTATACGTATAATTTGCTTTCCTCCTTTTTAGATCACTTGGATCCACCTATAACAGTCTGTTTTTATTAGTTATAATGAAAAACCTGAAGCAGGAAAACTTCCTAGGGAACAGAGGTTTATTAAGTTCAAACTTTTGGCTGCTGGAAGTCAAAAGCATGATATCAGTTCTGATGAGACTCTTCTTTGGCTGCAATTCCTTGTAGTAGATAGCAATGGTGGGGGTGAAGGTAGAAGGAGAGACTGCTTTGAAAATTGGAAGTCAGAGAGAAACTGGTGTCTCACAGTCCCTTCCAAAGGCATCCCCCCCAACTGACTTAAAGACCTCCCATTAGGCCCCGCCTCTTAAAGGTCCCACCTCCCCACATTGTCACACTGAGTACCAACCTTCCAACACATAAAGCTTTGGGGGACACATTGCCCAACCCGAATTGTCATTAAGAGGCAAACTTGAGCCACACACCACATGTCCAGCTGCAGTTTTGTTGGGAGAACCCCTAAGCTTTCATGTTCTTTGTAAAAGAACAGCAAAACAAACACCTCATCTCTCCTTCTGTCTAGGAGCCTAAGCTTTGTACCCATGACAGTTCTGTGGTGCACCCTGGGTTTGTCCTTTCTATGCCATGTTTTTTTTTTTTTTTTTTAAGTGGTTGAAGTGTTATTCCAGTGTTTGCTTCTTTCCACCCAATCATTTCATGTAGACATAAATATTATGAATGATTAAGTTGCTTTTAAAATGGTTTGACCAATCTATTCTTTTATGCACGTGTCATATCTGAGCCACTATAATTTTAAAAAGTGACTTCTTACTCCGAGTGTTTTTTTTTTACTTGGGGAGGTTGCTTGGATAATATTACTTGAGCTACATTTGGGGTGATTTATATCCATCCCTTTGCCTCTTCTTGTCTGAACGCCGTTTAATTCCATGAAGTCATTAGGCAAGTTTGGACTTCTTTCCTTAGAGCTTTGAATCCTTTGGTTGTTTTCTTTGTGCTGCCTGCTATACATCTTGTTTCTAATCTGTGATGACAGATGCCACTTCTAGAATTCTCACCCTTCTTGTCCATTGTCCCTTGAGGTCAAAAAAGACAAGAGCAACCCTATGAGTCTCTGGAAAATTCATATACATGTAGACACTGGCTCTTCCTTTCCATGTGTATGTCCACTCAGAAGAAATGTGTGCTTAAAAGTTGACCAGCGAGCCGGACAATGAAGTTTCAACATAGACGTTTCTTCTTACTTCATTCTGAAATAATTTTCGGACAGGTAATAATAAATGCTCTGTTCTTAACCTTTTATTCCGTACTCCAAATACACTTCAGGATCCAGAATGGTTCCATAGTGTTGGTATTAAAAATCAAGGATGCTCTTGGCAACAGCTTCTATTGTGTCTCTGTACCTTGGAACCTACAAATGAACTGAATGTTTCTGTTTCTGAACAGTCCTTTAGTACAAATGCAGCATCTTAACATGGGCCAAGGAAACAGAGTGAGGGTTCTCACCTCCAGATGATTTTTAGAGTTGCCTCATACTGTGGCCCTGATATGAGGATACTATTGACCATGAATACTGGTCCCAGGCAAGCAGGGTCCACAGCTAGAAGACTAGATCTGGGAAGACCCATGGAGACAGGCTTCCTTGGTGTAGCTGTGAAGGCCCTAGGGACTGGAGGCTACATAGAACAGGTTTCCATTTCTGGAAACATCCAAGTTGTATCAGCTGGTCCATATTCTTCATTATGTATTCCTAAATTTTACAGTGAAGAGAAATATTCAGGGTTTCATTTACTGTAATGATTTGATGAGAAACATGTTTGATTTAAGACAGCATTGCATTTTTTGAGTAGTGGTAGAATGCTTGCCTAGCATGTGTGAGGCACTGGGTTTGATTCTCAGCACCGCATATAAATAGATAAATAAAGGTTCATCAACAACTAAAAATATATGTATTAAAAAGAAACCTGGTACCATGTCATAATCTAACCTTTTTTCCCAAGGCTCTTTATTTGGCTCGTCTCCAAAACATCTTACAAACACCACATGTCTGATTCCTGTGGCATTTCTGATGAATATTGTGAAATCAAGTCCTTTCCTATTCACTCCTCTTGATTCCTATTATCTTCTTTGTGTTTCGACTTTCCTCCCCATCTACAGCATAAGCTTCCCACAGTAGGAGGCATAACTGATGTTTCTTTTTTTTTTCCTTATGAAATGCCCCATTTTCCTGATGGACACACAAAAAATAGGGCGTTAACTGTTGATAAGTTAAGTTGATTGTTCAAATGATCTCATCCTTTTTTGTGTGCTGAGTTGTTGACTACAGTTTTAGGGACACTGAGGTCTAATTTAATACACAGTGTCACTCAATTCTTGTGCAATGTCAAAAATGCCTACATACAAGATGGCTATAATACTAATTTTATGAAGAAGGAACACGATAATGAATTAATACTAGTAACATAATGATGCAGCTAGATCACAATTGAGAGGCTCATTTCTAAGTAAGATATTGGTTTTCTTAAAAAATTCAGTAAGAGAGCCTGGGCATAGTTCAGTGTTAGACTTACCTAGCAAGTGTAAAATGTAAAATAAAATAGAAAAA